GGGCCCCACACACACTCGCCAGTCGTCAGTCCGTCCCCCGCGCGCCGCTGCCTCGCCGAAGAAGAACGAAAACAACGACGCGGGTGGAGGCCGTAGTGTTCCGATTAACTCACCCAGAGAACTTGTGTGCAACTCTAAACTGTGTTCCTCTGCCCAGCACACTAAACCCTTATGTACTTTGTTGTGTATAACATCCACAGCTGTAAGCAGCCATAGTTATGCACCAAATTTCATACATAACTATGTAAAACTTCAGCATTACTATGCACAAATTTATGCATAGTGGCCTTAGTTTTGCATACTTATGCATGAAAAACTGTGCATAGCTATGGCTGCATGTAATCCTGCAAGTCTTATGCACAACAGAATGCATAAGGATTTAAGGATTTAGTGTGCACTTTACCCCGACAAACGGGCGTGCTCTGGTGGTCGCTTGTGCCGCCCGCAACTAGGGTACAGACTGCCTGGCAGGGCCTTGTTGTCGCTGTAACAAAGCGACCCGTGGAAGAGCAGCAGCAGCATTCGTCGGCAAAGTCATCTATAATAAGAGCGAGTGGGAGGCTGGAGGGAGGGAGAGAGAGAGACGCGCCCTCTGCAGCTAGTCGGGGGTGGAGGGAGCGCCTAACAGCGGCGGGGTAGGCCACCTGCTCTGGTGGTGGGCGTGGCGGGCGCGCCTACCCAGCAGGGGCGGGGGACGAGTAGTCCGGGCCTGGCCTGCAGCTGGACCACACAGTTCTTTTCGAGGAGGGCCTGTCCCCTCTCGACAAAGTACCTCTAAAGCGTCGATTACCTCACTGCAAAAAATTAGAGTCTGATACGGAACGATCTACAGCGTTACTGAGCCACTGCACCTAGGGTACAGAACGCGGAGTACAGTGTTGCTGTAGCACCGGAGAGCCCAGGTTTTACACGGTACAGTGTACGAAGACGGCTCCACTGTAGACAGTTTTGTCCGCTTTTGCCTGTACAGTGATCCTGTACATTGCTCCCTGTACCAAATTTTAACCATTAAAACTACAGCGATGCTGTTATTCGAATAACAGACGTTCCTGGAAAATTAATTAGCCGCATTACCTGTTATAATTTTTTGCAGTGTGATTACCTCTTATTGCCAATTACCTCTAAAAAAAAGTAAGGGTCACGGTCACGTACTTCTAAAACAGTTACCTCTGAACAATTTACCTCTATAGCCAAAGGTGACGCCTGGCTTCGCATGGGCTCTTATGGGCGGCTACAGCAAACCCAGGCGTTACCTTTGGCTGGCCGGATTATAAAATAAACTCCCACCCAATTTGTTTTGTGGAACATGTTGGTTATAGGGCAAGTTGAAAATCCACTTTTTTCGATTCCGAATGACAACGTCTGCGGCGCCTCACGTAGGCACGCCCGCCAAGTGTCTGTGTGGAGATGGTGGCCTACCCTCAGCACCTGAGCGGCGATACCCCCTGCTAGCCCCCCCCCCCCTCCCGCCCTCCCCAGCCTATGTGGACGCCACACACCCTGCAACGAGACTACTACGCGTGCAACACTGTTGGTTGCGGAAAGAGTTCGTTAGGCTTTTGGTTGTTTATTTGTGACTTCGCCGAGTTAAGAAACTGCTGTTATTTTCTTTTTGTTCTAGTTCGTCTTGGTAAATTACAGATTGTCAATATAGTGTCATAGAGACACCTCTATCTATGCGTAGACGCGGAAGAACGCTAACGTGATAACTCTCATTGACAAACTTGTCTACATAACCTTGCTTTGAATTTACTACCTTGTGCCAAACTATTTTTGTCATTTCTCTATCAGGCATATTTAAAGGAATGTCTAAAATCTCTTCTGTTTCTCTTTTATCGGGCTGTTGGTATTTGGTGTGTAGCCAAAGATGTTTAATCTAGAGAGAATGAAAACTCGCAAAATACGAGTGCTCAAAATGATACCATTAAATAACCTGAAAAAAGTTCATGGTCTTCGCTCTACAATCGTACTACTATCATGTCTGTAGGTGTTATGTGTTCCTAGATGATAGTACAAACAGTTCATAAAGCGTGACACCGCACTGAGATCAATACTTGTTCTTCCTACCACCAAGAAGGTGAAGTGGGCTGGTAAAGAACGAGTTGAGAGCCTCAAAATGGCCTCAAATGAAAAATTTATTGATATTTTTCATTAAGTTGGTGTAGTAATGTAACTAAGGCCATTGAGAGTAATTTGTAGCCCCCTGCCCCTCATTCTGTCACCTTCACAGCTCTAATTTATGACTCTCCTCCTGCGGGTACGAAGGCAAAAAATATAATAGGTACTCAGCGTAGTAATGTAGGATGTTTTTAAAATAGAAAAGAGTGCCAGTTTGCTCATTTTGTGTCCTTGGGGAATAACTGCTATTAATCTCAGATATAGTCCCCAAATTTTTTGAGTTTTTCAAGTAGGATTCTAGTTTTTTGTTTACATTTAGAATAAATGTTAAAGCCTCTGAGAACCCGTAGTGACTTTAACCTTTCTGCTGCACCAAGGCTTGAGAAAGGGAATGGAGGACATCATGAAGCAGGACTGGAAGAAACGAAGGCTTACGAAAACGTTTCACTTGATTTATTTTCATGAAATTTGATAAATAGTAATTATGATGTGTGTAGGTTCATGTCCCCTCATTGATTTTGCACTTTTTTCTGCTCAAAGACAGGCACAAATATTCAAGTTCATGCCAACGTTCATGAATGCTCTTTTTCTCTATAGTCCTTTAATAATTGTTGAAAATGCAAAGTAAATAATATGGAAACAGAGTTAAAAGTGCATGAATATTTATATAAGCTTTATATTTCTTGGATCCCACCTGTGAACGTTTGACGTTGAGTTGACATTGTTTGTCCTAGGCAATGCTTTTGAAGCATGGCAAGTTAATGTTATGCAGCTCCCTAAAACTGTAGAGAGTCCAAAGAGGAGTTGATGTAACCATGATATATGTAGACCAATATTCTGTTTTTACCCTTGTTGCAGGAAGACCCGTCATAGTTGCTTCTGCGCTTGACATCAGCTTAGCAGACGTCAGCTGCCACCCAATGTATGCTGAGTCGGTGTCACAGCACACAGCATTAGAAATGGCCCCTTCTTCTCATGATCACAGGAATGAATCCGGTAAGTTTGGACTTTTTATGTAATGTTAACCAAAAAATATCAATACGCATTATGGTACTGTCATTTTTGGTAAAAGTTTATTTTGGTATTTGTTTCTATTAAGGGGTTACTTGTCATATCTTTACTGTCTCTATTCTACTTCCATATATACCGCTTATCACTTGATCCTAAAATATTTAGTCGTGTGTTGATTTTAGTGGAGGGAAGTGAGAGAGGCAAATCATCAGAGAGTCAGTTACAGTAATGCTGCTATTTATTTCATTTGTCTGGTACAGTCGTAGTAAAATAGGAAGTGATGCTGGTTCTTGCCCAAAGGGATGTGCCTGGACTTGAAGCTGGCCACCTGTAACATAGAAAGTTCATACGATGAGCTGGCGTCACAGTGATACAGATGGACCAGAACACGTTTGTGTTGAACTCTGAGATAATTTGAATTTACTTATATTTTTTTCATTCTTTTTCAGGTATTCAGATTCGTCCCAAGTCACCAGCAGAAACAAGCCGGCTACTTGAGGAAGACTTAAGCTTATAATGTTAGAAACAATAAAGAATTAAAATACTATCCAACATTTTACATGATTTCATTGACCTGATTCTACGCTGCAGTAACTGTGGATGTAGTAGCAGACTGCCACCACTACCGCAGTGACGTCACAGGCTTCTCGGATGCAACTCTAGTTAGCTGTGGAGGCGGTAGTAGACTTACTGCAGGATGCTGCTACTACCACCCCACAACCACCGCAGCAACACCCAAGACACCCGTGACGTCACGACGGTAGCGGGGCAGCCCGCTACTACCTCCACAGCAACCGCAGCCGCGAGGAGCGCGGGGGCAGGGGGAGGGAGGGTTCGTCACACATAAGCCAGGACGCTGCTTCTTCGCTGTATGCCCGCGCCCGGGTGCGATCAATGCTCAGCAAATTGCGTCACAGCAATTTCACGCATAGTACGGTAACGTGATTAAACACCAATTGGGCCCCGTACAGCCCGCCTCATTGACGCTTGAGGTCAAGCGTGTCCCGAAGAGTGCACCGTTTGACCCACGGCACAAGGGTTTGCACGTTTGACCCACGGCAAAGGGTTTGCTGACTCCACAGCTTGAGCGGAACGGCTCCGCTAGACCCTTCCACACACTGTGGGTGTCCCCATCCCCACCACCACCCCCAGCCCTCGGGAAAATATAGTTAATATTTTTTTTTAAATAAAAGATAATCAATATTTTTGGTACAAATTTTAGAAAATTTAAAGGGGTAACTTATGGCATCAGAAAACTACCACAAGGTTTTCAAACACCCCTATCGTGAAAAGTGACTTTAGATGGCAAACAAAATTTAGTGCCAGAGAGAAGATCATTCAAGCTTACTCAAAGAGACTGTACACTAGAATAAAATAACTGGACCAGCTGTAATCACTGTGACCCCAACTCAACTTATATCTGATGATTCCATGGACCACACAGCTGATGTCCAGGACAGGTGCACCTCCAGGCCGATCTTCCTGCAACAAACCAAAGACGCAATTTTATAGTCGAAGAAATAAGATGCAAAAGAGGCAGGAAGCACGCAATTTCGACAGAGGAGGTCAAGGAAACTCTCCTAGACCAATTCCAATCATTTCCAGCGATTTTAATTTTTTTCATTTTTGGCCAAATTTACAAAGGCTATAGCCTTTGTGTTTTTAGCGAAAATTGATGGGTCCGGATTTTGACGGAAAAGTAGTCGAATCGACAGGGGTGAACCAGGGGACCACAGAACTAACTTCTGGTTCCGTCAGAAACCACCCCTGTCCACAGAAAATTGGGGTTTAAGGGTTGGTCTTTTGAATCTGGCGCGCGAGCCGGTCCGAGAAAAACACGCGTAACTCACTTAAAATGGCCCGGGAGCGTGAAATTTCGACGGAGATATTGAAAGAGGATGCTGCCGGACCAATCCCAACCATTTCCAGCGATTTTTATTTTTTTCATATTTGGCAAAATATACAAAGGCTATAGCCTTTGTGTTTTTAGCGAAAAT